AGAAGGATCTTGATGAGAAAATGGCAATATTAATGAAATTGCCCGCCTATTCGGGAAATCGTCTATTGACTACTACATTATTCATCAGTTACCTAGCGACAGAATGATTCAAGGATTCCGTGCTCGCAGTCAACTTTTGATGAAGAAATACGAAGAAAGGGATGAAGTGGAATGTAACTTGTCAGAATCGAGCGACAGCGAGGAAGAGCAAGACGATATCTCAAGGTAGACCAAGTTTGAATATCCCTTTGTCTCTCAGTCTATCAGCACCTTTCTCTTTATTAGTTTTTGTGACAATGGAATCAGGAAGAGCCGACCAGCTCTGTTCTCCTAAATAACTGTTTTTAAACGAATTGAAAGTGATTTAGAACTAAAATTTTTAAATTGGAAAAAAACTCTCCCTTACGGTCAATATAAAGCATTTGAGTATTTAAAATGTATTCGGGATTTTCCTTCCTGAAAAGGTCGTGAAGAGTTTCCTGGGGAAAATTCCTAGAGCCTATTTTTCTCCGTGATTAAAAAAAAAATCTGAATGTATTATAACTTTGCTGCCGGCAACCAGTTGTGACTTAAAGAACATATAATTATATTTGACATAAGAACAGATATATTTCTCCCAGGAACCCGTCGGTCCCTCTTGATGGAATAAACAAATCTTAGACAGGTTTGTTGTTTGAAAGCATTCTTGACAGCAGAGAACACTAATTTTGCATGTTAACATTTCCTCCATGTTATTTGTTATTCATGATATTGATGGTATTTTAGAGACCTTGGTAGGACTTGGAAGGTACGAGGGACTTTAATAACACCAAAAAGCCAGATTATAGTCGATGTAAGTACTACTGTTTAGTTGCTGAAGGAATAAAATTCTTGTCTTTGTTTTGGTTTGGTTTGGTTTGGTTTAATTTGGTTTGGTTTGGTTTGGTTTGGTTTGGTTTGGTTTGGTTTGGTTTGGTTTGGTTTGGTTTGGTTTGGTTTGGTTTGGTTTGGTTTGGTTTGGTTAAATTTGGTTTGGTTTGGTTTGGTTTGATTTGGTTTGGTTTGGTTTGGTTTGGTTTAATTTGGTTTGGTTTGGTTTGGTTTAATTTGGTTCGGTTTGGTTTGGTTTAATTTGGTTTGGTTTGGTTTGGTTTAATTTGGTTCGGTTTGGTTTGGTTTAATTTGGTTTGGTTTGGTTTGGTTTGGCTTGGCTTAGTTTGGTTTGGTTTGGGTTTGGGTTTTGGTTCGTTTTCGTTTTTATTCTTCAATTTTCGTTTTTGTTTGTTTCGTTTCGCTTTACTTTTTTGTTTTCGTTTGTTTCGTTCCATTCCGTTTTGTGTTTTTTGAATTACTGATTTCCTCTGAAAGAATGCAAGCAATGATGTCCTGGATGAATTGAGNTTAATGGCTTTTTACAGTACAAATCGGATCTCAGCAATGACGAAGAGTTATTTACCAGGCAGTCCTGCCAGATCGACATTCTTCAAAGGCAAGTCACGGAACTTGAAGTACAAAACAGCTCACTACAAAAACAGATCAGTGACATGGTGTCATCACTGAAGAAAAAAGATGATCAACTCTTTGAACAACAGCTCCAACTGAACCAAAMGACTGGTACTATCAAGAACCAGCAAGGTAAAGGAGAATAGTTGACACTCAACAGACACCACTATTAGAGTTTATGATATAACTTAGATAGTACGCGCGCTCTGATTCAGGAGGAGCCGACGGGGTCTGTTCTTCTAAATAACTGTTCTTGTACGAATGTTTTTTTCCTGAGAATGGGATTTTTGGCTACATTGTTGACAATCTCACAAGCAAATGTGGTGCCCTTCATTCTTTAAAATAATTTTGTTCCTGGTAAACGTTTTTAATGTCCAAAAAGGCTGATATAACGTTTTTATGGTCAAAAACGGATTAAATGTTTTTGGTTAGGGGAATTTTTATTTTACTGGCAAAAATTCTTAGAAAGTATTCCTTGCCTGAAGAATTCTTTTTTCCTGAAATTGTCGCTGCCAACCAGATGTGACTTACAGCTGGCTGGGACGTAAGAACAGATATATTTCTCCCAGGAACCCGTCGGCTCCTCCTACTGATTGGCTGCAAGACTAGAAAAACCTATGCTCTATAATCTATGTTAGTTATTGAATTGAATGTGAATGTGTATGAATTGAATTGTGGGAACTCCTTTGTTTTCTATTATCTAATCTACACTAATTATACTCTTAGCACTATTCGTTTAGTACTTTTTTCCACGCTTTTAGTGTTTGCACTTTAGTTATATCCAATTATCAATCCTAAACTTAGGTACCTGTCCAATTACTTTTAAATTCCACAGTTAGGAATGATATGTTAATATATAATTAGTAGAGTAATAACACTCCATGCTGTCC